CAGTTTAAATCTGCATTGACCTAGCCTACGGTCATCTATTCAGAACACAAGCCACATTTAGCTCTAAATCTATCTAAACTGGCAGCCTGTACTAGTTACACGGGTAAACTGACATGTCAATCTTCTGCTATGTTTTTATTCTGTGACCTGACCCAAGTAGCTCACAGTTTTTCTTTATCAGTTTGGCATGATTCAAAAATAGATAATTTTAAAATAACAAGTAAGTAAAATGTGTTCCAGTTTCATTGCCTTGTTGTATATGAGTTCCTAAGAGACTATTCAACTTAATAAACTACTTGGGAACATTTTTAATTCTTCAGATACAAGTTGAAGAAGTTCCTGTCGTGTAAAATTGCCAAATAAATGTTTTCTGAACCTATAGAAGAGTTCACATTCAGGTTACTTCTTATGTCTCATTTCAGGGGGGAAAAAAGGCCTCTAAATATTTTAAGAATCTATAATAATAGATAATATTTCTTTCAGAATTCTGCAAATTGAATGTACAGCATTCATTGACTCATTCATACAGTCAGATGATAAAAATCTATTCAGGGCCTAATATGCATGGGCAAAAAACTCATTGCCTTTTTACGTAGTATTTCTGTTAAAGAATGTCATGGAATAGGAAATTGACCAGTCTACACTGCATAAATCATCTGTTTATTTATTGTTCTAATACTACAGGAAACATCTCCTCATAAGTCATGAAGGAATCTTTGAGCTAATAAGATGCAAATTTTCATATATAAAACAGATGGGCAATTTTGGGTTTTGTTACAAACAATAATAGTGTATCACTTACTTTAGCCTTAACAAACTATGTGTTTGCCTCTGTGTGTGTGTGTGTGTGTGTGACCTAAATAAATAAATAAAAACAAAGGTAGGATTCATCTGATTGAGTTGGTATCCTGGACACTTTTGGCTTGATATATTCTGTTCTTGGTAGGAAAAGTAAAGAAATAAATACATACTTACATTATTTGGGCCTTTTATCTAGTTTGGCCAATTGGGCTTTGGGGAAAGTTTTCAGAACCAAATATGAAGATAATCTTCCAACTCCTTTTCTCTTATCTGTTTTAAACAATCTATAATAAACTTTATGCATTTTGTAATGTTCAATGTTGATCCCAAACCTTTTGTTTGGGAAGGGTCAATAATAATCATAAGTCTTTTCTTCTAGAGCATGCAGTGTTGTGCAGTGGCCAATGTTGGGGATTGAAATTCAGACTAACCTCTACTTATTTTATTATCTAGACTAACACATTAGTCATGTTATTTTAATTTTTTTAGCTCTCACTTTCATCAACTATAAAATGAAAAGATTAAGTGGTAAACTACATAACCTAAGTCAAGTTATTTAACCTCTATTTGCATCAGTGTCTTAGTTTGTACATGAAATCAATAATATGACCAACTCCAAGGGTTGCTGTGAGGAGTAAATATAATTCACTTCCACTGATGGTGACAAGTCCAAAATACTCCCTGTGATGAGTATTTCTACAAACTCACGGGCCCTTTCTTGGTTAATCCTGGTCTTTTTTTATCTTATTTCCACTGAATTAATTTAAGTCAGGATTGCTTTATTGTCCTGTATCTGTTATTTCTTTTCCATGAGAAATCATGCTGGTTATGGAACTCATCCATTTCTCTGATATTCTTCAATAATAAGCACTGAAAACACATAGAGACATGAAATTTGGTTGAATCTGACCATATTTACTATTTTCTAGTTATTATGCTAACTAGACTGACACACTAGTTGTGTTACTCTTGTAAGAAATGCACTTTTTTTTATTATTACAGTTTTATTTTAAACAGTGCAAATCAGGACTAGACAAATGAAGGAGGATGAGCTTTAGGAGGGTCCTTATTGAGGAGTTTCCCTGACCTTCCCCTGTGGAATCAGGATATGTCACCCCCTGGCACATCAGTGGGTTCACTGACAAAAAACTTACCCTGAACCTTGATCTTTCTGTTTTTAATTTTTTTAAATTTATTTTTAATTATTATAGGTACACAATAGTTGTATATATTTATAGGGTACTTGTGATGTTTTGATAGAGGCATATGATATGAATTAACCAAATCAGCATAATTTGGGTATCTGTCACCTCAGGCATTTAACATTTCTGTATATTATGAACATTCTATTTCTACTCCTTCAGTTTTTTCAAAGTATACCCTCCAACCTTTTATTACTTGACATTGCTCTCAGCTAACAACTTTTCTTTCAATGGCTGTGTTGCCCATATTATATCACTTCTAATTCATCCTGTATCTGTCTTTTAGACACATCTTTCTTACCCACTTGTTGATAGCTGGTATGGAAAATCAAAACACGTCTTTATCCAGCTTGTAAGACATCATATATTCATCATTGTTTTCCATTATTCCCCACATATACACACACCTGGCTCTTCTCTTCAGACAAGCCAATCTTCTCATTCTCATACAGCAATTTTTTATCTCAACTCTCTGTATTTTTTGTCCCTTTTTGTCAGAATGCCCTTTTTGCTAATTGGTCACAGCTATTTTTCAATGTCTAGCTCTTCAATGAAGTCTTTCCCAATGACTTCATTTCAAGTCATGATCTTTCAAGTTTCTAAGTAACTATGTGTTCACCATTAGTATCATGCTGCTTAGTATTTGTTCAGTTTTTCACAAACAGTGTCTTTCTTGCTCTATTACCTAGGGTTGAGTATAGTGATCAGAGATCACTGCAGTCATGAACTCCTGGGCTCCAGGGATCCTCCCACTTCAGCCTCCTGAGTAGCTGGGACTGTAAGCACAAACCACCATACCTGACTATGTTTTCTGAAATTTTATATAGAGACAGGCCACCCCTGTATTGCTCCAACTGGACTTTTTCTTATTAATTAATTTATTTTTTGTCTAAGGCAGAAGAGAAGAAGGGCGATACCAACTGAGACTATACCAATCACCCTTTAGGAGTAGCTGTTAGATGACAAGGCAGAAGGAGGGGGAAATGAAGGATGATACCAACTGAAACTAGGACAACCAATACCCCATTATTAGTAGTTGGTACAGTCCCAGACAGAAGTGGGGGTGGGGAAGAAGGATGATACCAACTGAGTCTAGGACAACCAATTACCCATTGGGAGTACTTGGTAGAGCCTAAGGCAAATGGGGGCAGGGAAGATACCAACAGAGACTAAACAAATCACCAATTAAAAGTAGTAGAGAAAGTTCAAGGTGGGGGGGGATGGTGCTACCAACTGAGACTAGGAAAACCAATTACCCTATAGATATAGTTGGTAGAGTCCAAGGCAGAAGTGGATGGGAAGAAGGGTGACACTAACTGAGTCTAGGACAATAAATCACCAATTAGGAATAGTCAGTAGAGTCCAAGGCAGAAAGGGGGTGGAAGAAGGGTGATACCGCTGACACTAGGAGAAACAATCACCCATCAGGAGTAGTAGGTAGACTCCAAGGCAGAAAGGGGAGGAAAAAGGGTGTTATCAGCAGAGACTAGGACACCCAATCACCCATGAGGAGTAGCTGGTAGCGTCCAAGGCAGAAGGGAGGGGGGAAGGAAGGGTGATACCAACTGAGACTAGGACAACCAATCACCCATTAAGAGTAGTTGGTGCAGTCCAAGGGGGGGGGGAAGAAGAGTGATACCATCTGAGACTAGGATAACCAATCACCCATTAAGAGTAGTTGTTACAACTCAAGGCAGAAGTAGGGGAAGAAGGGTGATACCAACTGAGACTAAGACAACCAATCACTCATTAGGAATAGTTGGTGGACTCCAAGACAGAAGGAGGAGGAAACAGGGTGTTACCAGCAGAGACTAGGACAACCAATCACCCATTAGGAGTAGTTGGTAGTGTCTAAGGTGGAAGTGGGTGTGGGGGGGTGGGGGAATAAGGGTGATACCAACTAAGACTAGGATAACCAACCATACAGTAGGAGTAGTTGATAGAGTCCAAGGAGGAAGGTGGGGAAGAAAGAAGAGTGATACTGAGACTAAACAAATCACCCCTTAGGGGTAGTTGGTAGAGTCCAAGGCAGAATGGGGAGAAAGGAAGGGTGATACCAACTGAGACAAGGACAGCCAATCACCCATTAGGAATAGTTGGTAGAGTCCAAGGCAAAAGTGCAGGGGAGGGGGTAGAAGGGTGATACCAACTGATATTAGGACAACCAATCACCCATTATGAGTAGTTGGTAGAGTCTAAGACAGAAGGGGAAGGAAAGAAGGGTTATAACAATTAAGACTAAAACAATTGCCAATTAGGATTAGTTGGTAGAATCCAAGGCAGAAAGCAAGGTGAAGAAGGGTGATACTAACTGAGACTAGGACAACCAATCACTCATTAGGAGTAGTTGGTAGTGTCTAAGGTGGAAGTGGGGGGCATGAAGGGGATACCAATTGAGACTAGGACAAACAATCACCCATTAGGATAGAAGGGAAGAAGAGTGATACCAACTGAGACTAAACCAATCAACCTTTAGGAGTAGTTGGCATATTCCAAGGCAGAAGTGGGGGAAAGAAAGGTAATACTGAGACTAGGACAACCAGTCACCCATTAAGAGTAGTTGGTACAGTCCAAGGCAGAAAGGAGGGGGC